CAGCCTGCAAAAGTTAATTAGAAGTTAATTAGGAATTGCCGACAGGGTATTTATGTATGTATTTATGTATATATGTACATGTATGTACATTCATTACATACATATGTATTTGAAAGTAATGTATAAGCAATGTTGCCAGATTTGACGATTTATCGTCATTTTGACGATTTTCAGTGTCAAAAATAGCCTCTTGACGATTTTACTTCTAAATTTGACGATTTTTTAATAAAGGTTTTTATACAAATTTTCAAATTAGTCGGCAACGAAAAGGCGAATGTAATAGCTTCAAAGGGAAGGGAGCTCGAGGTGGTTAACCTGACGAATGCAAAACGCGGCAACAAAAGCTGAATTAAAAATATGGATGAGGGAATCCCACAAGGCCTGTTGGAATAATGAAACGGTGGGTAGAACCACAAAGATCCGCTGAGGTGACCCTGATGAGAGCAAGACGAGAAATCTCCTGAGCAATTCCGAGGTTAGTTGATTGTATGTATTTTGAGTGGACGCACAGAATTACAAGCACATATATACAAAATTGAAAGTGCGGATTCAGACGAATGTAGAGCATGTGGAGAGGACAGTAAAACTCTGGAGCATTTTCTATGCCCCTAGCAGGCATTCGTCGAAGTTAGTATCTTGGAATTTCGTCCAGGAAACTGAGTTTCTGAACATTGAAAAATAATACATTCAGTGAAAAAAATTTTCATGAAAAGGAGCACACCACAGGCCCTATAGTGGCCTAGGTGTATTTCTTCGGATTTCTATCAACCTAACCCATAAGAGCATAATATACATGATTCGATTTTAATAAAAATTCATGAAAAAGATGTAAAAAGGTTAAAGAAAAAATATCTCATATTTATATTTACTGTATATCATATCGCATATGTAGTTTACAAGAACTCAATATAAGGTATTTTGAAGTATAATTGTCAAATTAAGCAGATAATGACAACTAAAATCGATATTGATAAAAATGTCTTGATAGGTAAACTTTGTGTTGATTTTGTGTGTGAGAGAAAGAGATGATTGATATTTCTTTCTCTTTTTCTCACACACAAAAATCTAAAGTTTTCCAAAAAAAGTTTCCCTGTGTGAACCGGCACTAATGAATAAAAAAATAGTAGAAATACTATCTAATTTTTGACGATTTCCAAAAATCAATTGAGGATTTTGAATTTTTTCCTCGAAATTTGACGATTTTGCACCCAAATAATCTGGCAACTATGTGAATAAGCATGTAAGGACAATTCAGGACCTACATTTTCATTTTACTATTGCAATTGTGTGAGAAGACATTGTATTGTATGTTTGAAAAAAAAAATAAGTTATTTGTATTTTAATAGTGAAGTGTTTTAGTGTTTTAAATGGACCAAAATTGTTTGATGAATCGTAAACGATGGTTCACTTCGGTATGGCCAGGAGCTAAATTCTGGAAAGGGTCGATAACAACTCCCTTATCTCCATATATAACTTATCCTGCGGTAAAATCTATAAAATAAAATTAGTTTGTTTTACATTTTCCTTTTATTAATAAAAATTATATACAGTGTCTCTCATAAGTATTCGAATTTAGGTAAACTATGAAAAAAACCAAATTTAATAATATATTTTGTGTGGAAAATAAATAAATTAATTTGTTATATTGTCTAGATAGTCCTTAGATTTGATATCACGCCCCTTAAAACTTGAAAACTTTACATTTACTTAAATTAGTTGTGCTTTTTTTAAAAAAAGTCCATGAAACTACTTCACAAAAGTATACGAATTTTTCCTGTATTTCATATTTGATCATATTATACGATACACAAATTCTAGAATCGCATGGTTTTATGCTTAATATTGTTTTAAGGGGTAACTATCAACCGCATGGATATATTTTTGACCCATTTGGTCCACAATTTTGGGGGATTTGTACCCTCTTTTCATGTAATATCATTAAAATGGCGATTTTTTGGCTATATTTGTAATGTTTTCACCCTTTTTTCAGAAATAAAACCAAAATTTAATATTGGAATTTAATAGAACCCATAGGGTATCTAAAAATAATATTTTTTGTTATAAGGATCTGTACTTAAACGTTCCAAGATGTATTTTTGGTATCGTTTTTCAGTTTCTAATTGAATTATCTGGATCATAAGTCCCTTTTCGTACCTCTAGGGACGATATTTTTCGACAAAGTTGTCTAGTGTATATTCATGTACATATTGGCACTAATGTATTTTAAATTTTCAATATATTATAGCGGTATACAACCCCAAAACATGCCTTAACAAAACGTCATCCTATATAGTAGATTTCAGTTTTTACTACTCGTAACTTTCACGCTTATGTTGCCCGTTACAATAACACTGTAAGTCCTAAATTTTGGTTTTAATTTGATCATAGTAAATAATATTTAAACACATATCAACATTTTTGATGTGATCATAATGATATCGTGCCATGCAGCATGGAGGCCATTGGTATATAAAAATAATGATTTTACTATTTTGAATGGTGTTTCTTCGAGGCATGTTTTGGAGTTGTACACTTCCACAACACATTGAAAACTTAAAATGTATAAAAGCTGATATCTAAAAGAATATATACCAGAAAACTTTCCCCGAAAATAGTTGATCCTAGTATTATAAAAATGGACTTAAGTTCCAATATATTGAATTAGCGAAAGAAGAATGATCCGAATAATTTATCTTGGAACGTTTAAATACAGATTCTTGTAACAAAAGATATTATTTTTAGATACCCCAAAGGGTCTTTTAAGTCCCAATATCAAATTTTTGTTTTATCTCTGGAAAAAAGGAGAAAAATTTACAATTATGGCCAAAAATCGCCATTTTAATGATATTACATGAAAAGAGGGTACAAATTCCGCAAAATTGTGGACCAAATGGGCCAAAAATATATCCTTTCCGTGGATAGTAACCCCTTAAAACAATATTACGCATAAAAACCATTCGATTCTAAAATTTGTGTTGCGTATAATATGATCAAATATGAAATACAGGAAAAATTCGTATACTTTTGTGAGGCAATTTCATGGACTTTTTTTAAAAAAGCACAATTAATTTAAATCAATGCAAATTTTTCAAGTTTTAAAAAGCGTGATATCAAACATAAGGACTATCTAGACAATATAACAAATTAATTTATTTATTTTGCACACAAAATATATTATTAAATTTGGTTTCTTTTTATAGTTTACCCAAATTCGAATAATTATGAGAGACACTGTACATAGGCATTTTGATTATTAGTGATTTAAAGCTAATTTTTTTAAATAATCTGCGTCTTTGTGCACGAAATGCCATAATTTATAACAGGATACAAAAAGAAATAATCGTAGCAAATAATAGCTGTGTTCCAGAACTCTTCTCTTTTAAAATTTATAATTGTAGTTTGAGTACGATGCAATTGTTACATTTTGTTGTTAATATTTGACGTTTGAAAATTTGGTTGTCTATTAATAATATGGAATCCGAATTGCATCAAGATTTTTAAATTCATTTTTAAATCATTAGTATACAATTCTACAGGGAAATTTAAGAAATATAAACTTAATTTGACAGAAAGTGATTCTGAGCCGATCAGTAAGGTGGGTGTAGGACCAATTAGGGTATAAAACTTGATTTTATAATTCGTAAATATAAAAATGTCGCTGAAAATAATATGTCCTTAAAAAATAATGTTCAAATTTTTAATTTATTGTAATAATGTTAACTTGTTGGTTAATAATTTCCCATCAAATAATGTGTTTTTTTTATCATAATGTGTAAAATAGAGTAAATAATATGACTTTTTTGGTTTCTTCAAAAATTGTGTCATTAAAATTACTTTTCTTAACATTTCGTCCAAATCTTATCATCTACACAAAGTTATATAGTTATCCCATTTATTAAAAAATTCAGGCATTTTTTGCATTGTTTGGTCTTCGTTTTGCATGCAGAAGTGATGTAAACAACAATATCTACGCAAAAAAACCAATGAAATAATAATTATTTAGCCGTTTTTGCAACATATTTGTGAAAAGAAGACGCCTATAACTTTGTTATTTGTCGCCCGATATTAATATTTTATACCTTGTTGGAAAGATAATTTATTTAGAAGAACTTTTAAGAAACTTTAATTTTAATGGCACAATTTTTGAAGAATTAAAAAATGCTACTATTTACCCAATTTTACATTTTTCAATCGATTCCCGTTATCCGATTGGGCTAACATTTTTCACCAGTTAGTTTTAGACACTAATGAACAAAATAAGACCCATCTGAGCAAAATCGATATTTTTGGACACCTCTCCAAAATAAGCAAACATGGGTTTTCTTCTGCATTCTATGGATTTACGAATATGATATTTGCTCATTTCAGAACAATGTAAGAATATTGTTTTTTGATGTTTTTAAATATTTGTACGCTTAAGAGTATAAGAGCATATTTAAGGAATATTTAATTTACAGTTTTGCCGTATATTTTGAGAGAGATTATTGAGATATTGATTATTGAACTTGACATTTTAATGTTTTGAAATTATTTTTCATTTTCCATTGCTTTAATGCTAAGATCTGACGGAAGGTTAAAAAACGGTTTTAATTTATTACTATAATTAAAATTTTTACTGCACACTACATTTTAATTCAGAATTTAGTTTTTAATAATATAATTATTTACAATTTATTTTCACACTTTTTGTAAAAAATAGTTATTTTGCTTTCAAAATAAAATATAAAAAAATCAAAAAGGAACACTAAAATAACGAAATCTTGTTTACCACAATCCACAAGTTTTAAAAGAAGAGTAAATTAAATAGAAAAGAACAACATTATTATAGGTTTGTTTTTAAAACAAAGAAAAAGCTATAATACAAAATTACGACATACAACTCTATAAAGTTGTATACGAACGACGCTGAATGTGAATTGGGCAATTTTAATTTGAAATATTTATAAATGATAAATACAAACAGTTTTGTATTCACGAATATTTTCTTTATGTAATTTCAGAAATTTGATGAAATAGATGGGCAATCTGTTACACCACTCACAATGGCAGCTATGGCTGGTAATACGATGTATGTGAAAACCTTGCTTTCTCACTATAATATTGACTTGGAACGAGAGTGTAATGTAATATTTGACGGACTTGTAGTTTACGGCGCCACTGCTTTATGGGTGGCTGCAGGATTGGGCCATTTACAGGTTGTCAAACTATTAGTTAATAATGGTGCAAATATTAATCACAATACGAAAGCACAATCATCTCCCTTACGAGCTGCATGTTACGATGGTCGCTTGGATATAGTTAAATATTTAATTGAACATGGAGCAGATGTTAATTTAGGAAACAAATACAACAACACATGTATAATGATTGCTGCTTACAAAGGACATGCGCACGTGGTAAGTTAATTACAAATAAGGAAATTTTTCGGCGAGAAATCCGCCGTGTTTTGAAAATTAAATGTCTACAAAAACAATTTTTCGGTTTTTCTTAGTTGCCTTAATGTTTCAGTCACCTTATAATTCGTTATGAATATGAAAAATTTTTATTATTATTAGGACTGCGTCAGAAAAAAATTATACTTGTATTACAAGTACTTGTTCAATAAAACATAAACCGTGATATAATAATAAAATTGCTACAAATACGTAAATTTATTCAAATATTGTACAAATTCATTGAACATTTTAAAATTGATATATTATTCGAAACATATTTATAAATTTATCCACTTTTTCCGGAAATTCTTACATTAAAGATTTTATAGCTGCTTTCCTTGCATTTTTTTGACGAGGTGGTCCATCGAAGCTTAAAGTCGAACGAGTCCTGGGACACCTTTTCTGTGTTCTTTAATTCTTTGTTTGAAAGAAGGCCGAAGAACTATAGGAAATTTTACCCATTTTTGGCCAAAATTAATAACAGCCAAACTGCTGGACCGATTTGAATAATTCTTTTGAATTTTAATTTTGGAAGCATAGGGAGATTCCTTAAATTGTTCATACACTGAACAAAAAAATTGGTATTAATATTTACTAAGTATTTGTTCAAAACGAGATTCCCGCGTTGTAGATTTCCCGGTATGTATAATGTTCCCCGATCTATTTCAGGCCTTTTTCACAATATATTTTTTAAGTTTACACTTAATTTTGAAATTAACAGTAAATTTTGTTTACTAAGGAAGAAAGGCAATAAAGAATATTGTATTTTTAATAAAAAATTTGATTTTCGAGGTCTAAATTGTCAACTATATTAAAAAACATGGATTCATAAGTTCCCTGAAAATGCGTTTTTTAAAGTTTGCAAATGCTGTAGTTAACTAATGCTGTAGTTAACTAATTGTCTCAATGATCTGTTATGGTCTTATAACTAACATTTGAATTTTGGCCAAAAAAGGACCTTTTTCTATAATGACATGATGCCAAATCGGTCCAGAGATATGACGGCTTCTATGTTGTTTAAAAATAGGTAAACCCTCTTGTTGTAGACACTCCGTAATGGATATTTCTGTAATAAAACAAAACAAATAACAACACTCTCTTATACAAAACAATAATTACATAGCAAAAAAAGTGAGGAAAATGAAGTAGAATTTTTACCACAAATAACATACTAGAAGTACTTCCAATTTTGGTGAAAAACATATGAAATTTACACTAGCGTGTCATTGGAGGGATGTTGTTCAATTTTGACAACTTGAACATCTAATCTTATTTTTAGAAGCAGTAAAATTCGATATTTGGATGCCAAAAAGAAACCACATTCTTTCATGACAGGGTTATATAAATTTCATTGGTGACTTTTCTACATCTCTTTCCTCACTTTTAACTGGGTTTTCATTTGTATGGAAATATTTGGTTTATAAAAGCAAAAAATATGTAATCGCATTTTTAGATGTGATTATGACGTCGTTTGTAAAGTATGACATCAATTTTTTTGCTGGGCATATACATATGAAACGATGGACTTAACACATTTTTCAAGTGTCGAAAGAAGCATTCAAGTGTCTCGGTTTTTTGAAACGGTGTAAGACATACTTCACTCCATTTCATCTTCTTAATATTTACACCACTTATATTCGACCGAAAATGGAATACAACTCTCATGTATGGACCGGAGTTTCGAAGTCTGTTTTGGAGCTACTCGACCGCGTACAAGAGAGGGCGTATCCAGAGTAGGGTATCAAACTCTATCGATTCACTGGAGCACCGTCGTAACGTGGGGTGTATTTTACTGTTCTACAACAACACATCAACACATTACAGTGGAACAAACTTCCTGCAGAAGTATTCCTCGCCATTTTCGATGTGAAAAGGTTTAAAACAAATGTCCACAAACATTACTTCCTCTATCCTCCCTCCCACAACCTATTTTTCTTTACTGAATAGCGATCTCGAACTTTCGGAACTTTATACTACTCCACCCCTGCATTAGCTTTAGCTCTGCGCACAAAAGATTCAGAGCATTAAACTTTACGAGCTGCTTTTCTGATAGAAGGGTTCATCAGATAGTTAGTTATGGCCGTTTGGTTTCAGTTGACGATAAATACAGACCACAAAATTTTAATTTTAATTGCACTTAAAATGACGTTTAAGTAATTAACTCATTCAATAATAAAGAAAAAGTAAAGTAAAAAATTATTTTTAAAAATTCACATTTTTAAGTGATTTCATAAATTTTAAGATTTCCTATTAGTTATTTTAATATAGTATTCCATCAAAAACATACATTGACAATAATGAGTTAAAAAGTTAAAAAACGGCTTTTCCCTACTTTTTCATTAGCATTTTAACTCATTATTTAAATACGGTGATGACATTGGAGGCAAATACTCAACACGCTCGCTTACAAATTACTACCTAAAAATAAGGAGTTAAAAAGTTGTTTTGTTTTAAAAACAAACAAAAAATGCTCAAACAGAATACGAACCTGTTCGTTAGTTCGCTGTCATACTCACAACACCACAGCTTAGTTATTTTATTGTGCATCCAATAATGGTTTTACACAGAAAAACCATTTTTTTTCTTTGTGTTTGTGTAAAAAAAGTTGCTAGCGCGCAATTCAATAAAATATGCAAATAAAAGGACAAAACTCAAAATAAAGTACTTATGTATCTGATTATTATTATGATCATTATAAGTGTACTTAAAAGTAGTGCAGACAGTAAGTAGTAGTCATTGATCTAACTTAATATAATTATTTTGTAACACAAGAAACAACGCGTTGTCGGCGAAACAGACATTTTGATGAAATTTCTTTTAGATTTTATTTTATCCATTAAATATTTCTTTCGTTTAATATATAAAAAAAAAAAAAAAAAAAAAAAACATACCCAAAAATATATGCCTTAAGTAGGCTATTAAAATCAAATGATGCAAAATTATGATCTTATGGGTAAAATATGCAAAAATATGTGTTAACAAATTGAAATTCTTGAATTGTTCATTAAACGCACCATAAAAAACATGCATTTGCATATTTTGGTTGCCCTACTTATTATTAGATTTCAATTTTAAGCTGCCAAATCAAATGAAAATTTATATGATTTTCAAAAAAAAAACTTGCCTAAACATGTTTTGTTTCTACACTATCACATTTTAAATCAAATAAAACTAACTTAAAAAAAACATACATTATCAAATTAAATTGTATTTTGTTTCAGTTTTTACTTTTTTGTCCGTTAAAAAAATAAAACTCTGATAACATTAATAAATCTAATAGTAAAGGGCAAATAAAAGCGGCATGCATACGTATGCCGCAGTCAGGTGCTTGCCGCTTGAAAATTTTTGTTGAAGGGTCAATACACGCGTCATCAGTCCCTCCACCATAATCATTTTAAAATTAAAAAAATATATACATACGTATGATACGAATTCGCGAATAAAATAGAATTATTCGCATTAAAAATTAAATTAGTTTGCGAACAAATTCAATTCGAATGCAATCCGCCTTCTGGTTGCAAGGCTACCAATAAAAACGAAATTCAAACAAACTTGAATTTTTCCCAAATTTGCTTTGAATTTTTATATCTGGCAATTTGATTTTACTTTTGATATTAACAAACCAACATGGGGTGTATACATTACAAATTTTCGAATTGAATTTTTGAACATAACATTTTATTGCCAACAGATGTCTTCAAATGTATATCGTCACCTAAAACGCAAACAGCCCTATCTAACATTTTTAAAATTTTACAGGAGAAGCATAAAACTATTTAAATTGAAAAGTTTGTTTCTATCAATGCGATTTACTTGTAGTAAATAAACAAATTGTTTAATAGTGAAACCTATCAGTTGTTATTATAGTTTACAATGGCATATATTAAAATGGATAAATTTTACTTTTTTACCTTTAATATTTGAATGTTTTGTAGATAGGGCCTTTTGTTTTTTGTCAATAAAATCGCTAATTTTGGTCGGAGGAGTGGACATTTGTTTTGATGCAATACTTTATTATCAACAATAAAATCGATTTTTAATTTTTGGTTAGTTAGGGCCTTTTGCGTTTCAGGTGACGATATGTATTCCAAAATTCAGTATATCGTCACACTAACCAAAAATTCAAAATCGATTTAATTGTTGAGTCTAATGTATTGCATCAAAACAAATGTCCACACCAATTTTTACAAATTCTGTATTAATAGGAACCCAGCAAAAAATAATTGATGTCATACTTTACAAACGACATCTTAATCACATCTAAAAATGCGATTGCATACTTTTCGCGTTTATAAACCAAACATATACTTACAAATTAAAACACAGTTAAAAATGAGAAAAGAGATGTAGAATAGTCACTACCCAGCAAAAAATAATTGATGTCATACTTTACAAACGACATCTTAATCACATCTTAAAATGCGATTGCATACTTTTCGCTTTTATAAACCAAACATATACTTACAAATTAAAAGACAGTTAAAAATGAGAAAAGAGATGTAGAAAAGTCACTACAAACAACATATTCGAAGTACTTCAAATTTTGATGAAATTTACATAAGCGTTTCATTGAAAGAATGTGGTTTATTTTTGACATACAAATATCGGATTTTTACAGCTTCTAAAGATAAGATTAGATGTAGTTCAAAGTTGTCAGAAATGAACAACATCCCTCCAATGACACGCTAATGTAAAATTCATAGGTTTTTCACCTGAATTTGAAGCACTTCGGGTTACTAGTTGTGATGAAAATTCTACATCTTTTTCCACACTTTTTTTGCTGGGTACAAACAACATATTCGAAGTACTTCAAATTTTGATGAAAAACCAATGAAATGTACATAAGCGTTTCATTGAAAGAATGTGGTTTATTTTTGACATACAAATATCGGATTTTTACAGCTTCTAAAGATAAGATTAGATGTAGTTCAAAGTTGTCAAAAATGAATAACATCCCTCCAATGACACGCTAATGTAAAATTCATAGGTTTTTCACCTGAATTTGAAGCACTTCGGGTTACTAGTTGTGATGAAAATTCTACATCTTTTTCCAGACTTTTTTTGCTGGGAATATTAAAACAAAATTTGTTAAATATCAAAATTCATCACATCCTTTTTCCTCGATTTGATGTTTAAACATACATATAAAAAGGCCATAAATGTATAGGTACTAGTTGAACTCTTTCCGAATGTTTTTATGTGTATTTTTTATATTTAAGGTGGACACGCTATTAAAAAATGGTGCTAATCCGAATGAGCAAGCTCTTTGTGGAGCAACTGCTTTACATTATGCTGCTGAATGCGGGCATATTGAGGTATGTCGAATACTGCTTGATCATGGAGCTCGTTTACAAGAAAATGAACATGGGTTAACACCTGTTTTAAATGCCGCCGAACGAACTCACGAGGAAGTAGTACATTTATTTATTAATAGACCTGGACTTATGAAGAAAGAAGACATAATAATTGCACTCGAATTATTAGGTGCGTCGTTTGCGAATGATAAAGACAACTATAGCATTCAAAAGGCATATACGCATTTAATGCGAGCAATGGAAATGCGATATTCAGATTCGGAAAAGATAATAAAAAAAAGAATTATCCCGCCTGAATTAGCTTATGACAATTGGCTCGAAACGGAAAATATTCCTGAACTTCAAGCAATAAGGCTAAATCATCATTCAATACACATGGAGTCGTTAACTATAAGAGAGCGTATACTGGGCAAAAATAATCCTGATTTACCTCAGCCGATTGTTTATAGAGGTGCAGTAATGGCTGATCAAGGTCGATTTTCCCAATGCCAAACGCTATGGAACTATGCCATGGACTTGAGAATGATGAATAATGTATCAGTGGAACGTGACTTACTGCGTTTCGCGCAACTTTTTTCACAAATATTACGCATTGAAGACGTACAACTAGATTTATCTCAGGTTTTATCTGTATTAGTGAAGTGTCAGCTAGAAATAGAACGAAATAAATACAAAATAGGAAACCCCGGTCCCAAGGATGTGCCGCAAATGATTGCCGTAAGTGTTATACTGTTTCGATTTTCTATCAAATGCATATAAAAATAAGTATGTATTATTTTATAAAGGATCAGAATGAACAAAATGTAGCATCTGCCTTGTATCTTATAAAAATTATAACAAAAGTTTTGGCACAACAGCCTCAATATAATAAAGAACACATAGATCTCTTGTACAATACAATTAAAAAATTTATAAAATGTGATACTCGTCTTGCGGATGGACAAACTTTGCTTCATATGGCAGTGAATGGAGTGACACCTGTTGACGATTTCTTTACCAGCGATGTGTGCAAGTAAGTTCTATATTATTATTTTATTATATTCTACAAATAAATGTGTTATTTTGTGTATATAAGGTTTCCATGTTTTCGAACTGCACTTCTATTAGTACACGCTGGAGCATCTGTCATTGCGATGGATGAGTTGCGCAATACTCCACTGCATACTCTAGTTGCGAGTGTAAATAAAACTATTCTTTTTTACTTTTATTACAATCATTTTAATATGGTTCCTTTACAGTTTCCTCGTGATAATCCCCATTTATTACCAAATGCTGAAAAAATTGTGAAACTATTAGTCGATGCAGGAGCTCATTTGGATGCCATTAATGCACAAGGCTTAACACCTGCTCAAGTTGCTCATGTTGGTAAGATTAAAAAAATATGAAAACTCAGTTTTATGTGTATTGTTTTTAACGAAATTTATTACATTTTATATTTCTAGCTGGTTTAAGAAACATTATACTTGGTTATGAAAATTCGTTAACATCATTAAAATGCATTGCATCCCGCTGTATTGCTGTTAATAAAATAAAATATCAAGGTTTAGTTCCCACTGCTCTAGAGTCTTATATTCAAATTCACAGTGCTGAAAAGTTTTTTGCATAATACTCAAAAACTTTAAAATACATTTTTAGAACTCAATTGAAAAAACACCGACGTGATTAAAATAAATTCAAAAGGGAGTAACAACAAATTAGTTATTTCCCCAAGTAAAAAGTCCAAATCCTAGTGTTACGCCCTTTTGCATTTTTGGTGACTATATGTTTTTTGTGAGAATGGTTAATTTTATCTATGTCATCCAAACGTACATGATATGAATATACATATGTATGTAATTTTAAAAAAAAGTTTATCTTCCCATGAGAAACAATATATTTTATTGTATGTATAAATTTTGTAAAAACATAATCCTAGTGTTCACTTCTTTTAATTGTTTATAATTTAGTTTCTTTTTTTAAATATAAATACATATTTATTTTTATATCCTTATTTGCTTAATATTTATTTATGTAATTATCAGTGCTTTTTAAAAAAGAATAGAACGAACATTTTTAGTAATTAAAATAAATATTTTTCAAATTGATTTATGTGAAATACGTATAAATAGACCACAAAGTTCGTTTTTTCATTACTTTGAACCGTTGGCATCATAGGTCACAATATGTATATTAAATTGGTTATATGTTGGGTAAAGCTGGGAATAAGCAGGAAATCAAAAGTGTAAATGATAAGATATTCACGTGTTTCAGACCAATTTAAGAATTTTGGTATTAATTTCTTAGAACATATTTTTGCATATTTTACCCACAGGAGCATAATTTGACTTTTGTAGCAATTTTTGGATTTTTTGAGCACAATTTACTCTCTTTTCTCATTTTTCTATATTTTTTTCAAATTAAATTTACTATTTTGAAAAAAAATCGTTTGTAGAGCTTGAAAACAGCAAAAACACATTAGTATCATAAAAACCAATGTTATAGTTTTTTATTCTATAAAGCAGTAAATTTTAATCGACCATAAAACCGATAATTTTGGATTTCATGAGACCAACGCATTTTTGTCGTTTAAAAAACTAGTAACGATGATTATTGGATTCTATGGCAACACTGATAAAAATGTCTGTTTAGAAGCTAGACTGGTGGTGGTGGGTTCAATTCCCACCTAAAGCATTGTTTAAGGAGCGCACAACAGGCCTAGGTGTATGTCGTTTGAAATTTGTTTTCGAAATGTGGCTTCCTCTTATTTATTAATTAATTGAATGTAAAACGAAATCCTATTAAACTAGTTCTTCAAACTATGAGATGAATCAATTTTCAAAAATAAATCATGCAGGATGAAATATGACATAGTATATATATATGACATTATGGGAAAACATTTTACTTAAGATTAAAAATTTCATACAAATTTATCCAACAAAACATGAATATAACTATTGACATTTGTTTGCAAATATGCATGTTGGCATAGCATAGTCGAATAGAGCATTGAAATATGTGAAAAACTACATTATTTTTTCGCGGTTGTTAAAAAAGTTCACGCACCAAATGTCTGTCCGTCTATTTTCTATAATCAGTTTTTTGAAGGCTCCATTTATTTTCGGAATCCAAATCTTAGATAATTTGAATATATATGCTTTTAAGAACTTAGCTGTTAAAAACCAGTAAAATCGGTCCATAAGAATCGGAGACATGGTCAAAACAATTGTGCTTTTATTTCCATATTTTTATAGACCTTTTGATTAAGAGATTTAAATTAAAATAGAACATTTGCGTAAAAATCAAAAAGTCCTGAGATATAGGCAGTGATGAGTCGTGATGCGACAAAAGTACACTTTTCGGTGGTGGTATGTCAAAAATTTCGCCAATTAGTTATATTCCTAATGGTCATGATTTCTACTTACCTACAGCTTATTTTGTAATGTCTGCTACATACCATCTGAATTAGTTAGATGGAGTCTAGTAATGACTTAGAAACAACTATATGAACATACATACACATGTAAAAATTTACTTTGTCATTTTTAGCCTTGACATTTAGTCTTGACAAAAAAAGGGAAAAAAGTATTTTGTGTGAAAACTATGTGTAAACTATATGTAAACGCAGGGGGCGTATCCCTGTCGCCTCTTTCAAAAATCAAACTACTTAACTCCCTTTTAACAAGTGATCGTGGTAAAATAATGACATAAAATTCTATCATGTAAGTAAAATTCATAGTAAAAATATCAAGGTAGTGTCATTCTCTCATTTTGTTGCCATATTAACCTTCTGGCGTTTGCTGGTATTTTATAAAATCGAGCTACGTATGGTACCATACTCATTCCAAAAATACTACATATGTACTTTGTTTATTGAAAAGTCAAATACAAGATAATTTCTCACAGAATTTTTGGAAAATATAAAAAATAAAATCAAAGGAATTAAATAATATTAAAAAAAGAAAAAGCTAGCGCTAAAAATCTACGATGTAAATAAGGCCACCAAAACGATTTAAAGCTACAAGAGACTAGTGCTTAATGTAATTACCAGTTTTAAGGGCCATTTACCAACATGCCAACACATTTATCCACCGAAGCCGCTAAGCCTCATTCATCACTTATATACAGTGATTCAAACCCAAAGTCGGACATGATTTTCAATTATTTTAAATTGGACAAAAAATATTTTAAAAAATACTTTTTTTAGATTTTAACTATTTGTATGATTTAAGTGGTATACTAGCTTATTATTCTGATACAAATTTGCAAATGTTTATTTTTCTTTATAGAAATATTCTACATTGAAGAAGATACTTAAACATTTTAAAATCAAACATAAAATCGGACAAACAATTTATGTTCAGATTTTTCTACGATTTTGCATCTTTAACATTTGAAATGTATCCAGTTCTACTCTATTGTGTGTTTTATGGTGTCTTTATGAAGATAGATCCAGCGGCGGTCTAGGAACAATAGAAATAAGGCATCTTATTATTCGAATAGGATGAAATATGAACCAAATATAAGTAAAATCGTGGATAAGGATTTCGTGGGCAACTGACTGCGTCCATGACATTATTAGAAGGTATGTCAAAGAAAATTGTTTGAAAATAAAAGCGTTAAGATCAAGGAACACATGTTAATTGTAAAAAAGTAGAATCCGTATATTCCTCGAGGTGATAAAAATCCGCCAAAAATATACCTTTGGGCTATAAAAGAATGTTGAAACCTAAATGTATAAGAAAGTCGGCTTGAGTTTAACCACGCTCATAAATTTTTTATGGTCAAGTTTTAATTTGTACTGATATGAATATTCAATAGAAACATTTAAACGTAAAGTTACACTTTTAGGGCTTATAAAACGACCGTTTTTAAAACTTGACCATAGAAAATTTATAAGCGTTCTTTAACTTAGGCCGACTTTCTTATACATACTGGTTTCAACATTCTTTTATAGCAAACGTATATTTTTGGCGGATTTTTATCACCTCGAGGAATGTACGGGTTCTACTTTTTTCTAATTAACATGTTTTCTTTGACCTTAACGCTTTTATCTTCAAATTATTTTCTTTGTCATACTTTCTAATAATGTCACGAACGCAGTTGCCCACGAAATCGTTTACCCACGATTTTACTTATATTTGGTACATATTTCATATTTCATCCTATTCGAATAATAAGTTGCCTTATTTCTATTGTTCCTAGACCGCCGCTGGATCTATCTTCAAAAAGGGACCATGAAGTACACAATAGAATAGAACTGGATACATTTCTAGTAGAAAAATCTGAATATAAATTATTTGTCCGATTTTGCGTTTGACTTTAAAATGTTTATGTGTCTGTCTTAGAATCTTGTGAGGATTTGGATGAAATTTTCACCTCTATCGGTCAAGAACTGCCCATTATGGAACTATAAAACCCTTAAAGGAAATTGTATAAGCTTTCATCTGCGCACCAATAGTTGAAAAGTTACACTAATTTGAATTTAATTTTCTTAAGAATTTCAGAGAAAGGTTTCTTCAATACAAAAACCTCAACATTAATATATCGCTCATTTGCAGCTATTGACATGATTTTTTGTTATAATTGCCAAAACCAAAACTTAGTTTTTACCATTCGATTACCATTTAACTTAAGTGAATCTTGAGTTTTCGATGGTACTCCACCAGTAAAGTTGAAGAGTTTTAATGGTCTCCACCAGGGTATAAACTGTTGAGTTTTAATGGTCTCCACCAGGATATAAACAGTTCGTGTATTTTATGGGTCTCCACCAGTCAAAACATAACCTCACTTCGTCTCCACCAGTCAAAACATTACCACAGCACGAGGCTGATGCAGACAATGTATAACTGCCCAGTTACACAAAGTAATGCATAACACAAATAATAAAGGTAGTCACAGTTTTTTCTTGTATGAAATTGCAAAAAACAAATTATTCCATAATATGTAATTTTATGAAAATTTCGACACATATTTTAAACAAATGATTATTTTACAAATTATACTGATATTTTGATTTCCAACACAATTGTACTTTAAGTACAAACTACTTACGTACAAATATACTATATATACATATATTCATATACTTATAAAATATGCGTTTATGTTATTTAAAGTAGGATAACACTGAATTTCGCCGTCCAGTTTCAGCTGCGTGGTAATCCATCTTTTCAAATCATGTACCGTATTTGGGCTATGATAGATCACAGATGTAATTTCCAGAAATTACAAAAATTTAAATGAAAATATTCTTGACTGCCATTTGAGATCAAATATTTACACTGGAGATTTTATTAGTGACCTTTGGATAAATCTCCGGCTGCCTCATGACTTCATCGTAAGATGGAGGAGGAGCTAAAATAAAAAAAAATCACATTATTTATATAAAATCGTGTTTGTTTACAAGGCTTTTGTTCAGGATGTGACACATACTTATACATTAGGGTGTCCCGTGGACCACTTTTTTAAAGGAATACCTCTCAAACGATGCGTTTTAATGTACTAAATACGATAAAAATTAAAAAATATGTTTTTAAAAAGGCGCTCAGTTCCCTACCAATGCTAAAATTGTGGTTTAGAGTGGCGTATTATTTTCGCTTTTTATATAAATAGGTGTGAAAATGGTACAGAAAAATATTTAAAAAAATTGTTGGCATTATTTAATTTATATGCACCTTGTAATGCACTAAAATACGTTTTGACAATATCTCGCTTAGCGCACATATTTAGACATTTATGGTGACTTTTAATATTTTATAAATAATGGTAAGGAGAAGCTTTGTGTCAATTTTCATTTATCGTGTTTGTAAAAAAAATCACTAGAGCTAAAAATGACGACAATTTTAACACCCATTTCGATAAAAATTGAAAATAATATGCCTATCCAACCCACTAAAAATCATTTTGTGGACCAAAAATACTATAACAAAATTTTCAAATTATTTTTCCCATAATCAGTTCAAAATTAGGCAATTTTTGAGACCCATTTTGATAAGATTGCAAACAATCGCTTGTAGGGAACTGAGGCCACTTTCAACAAAAATATTTTATATTTTTCTCGTATTTAGTACATTAATACATACTTTGAGAGCTATTCCTAGAAAGAAGTGGTCCACAGAACACCCTAATGAACATGTGGGTTGTTTTACTAATACAATCACAAAATCTGTTTCATAGAACCAATTGATGTGGGGCCATGTCGCTTGATGATGGGTTTCCACTACTATATTGTAACTTTTTGGAATAAAAGTTTTATTTCGTCAATAAGGGAGGAAAAAATCCTCATTAAATTCGGAATGATTTTGTTATGAGTACAGTCAATTATCATCGCTGTACTCATAATTTTCTAAATCCTACTCATCAAATTAACTGAAGAGGACTTTATATGAGGAGTAGGCTGAATTATTGACCGTTTTTCATAAATTTTTTTACACCGCTTTTGGTTCATATAAAACATGTTTACATCGAATATCATCGCTTTATTCGCATTTTTATGATAGTAATTAGCCGTTAAAGTAATTTTTTGAATGGAGGCTAATATGGGCGGAAATTCGGTAGGAAGATTTTCGTTCCTTTAAAAGTTTCTTATATCAAATTTAATAACGTATTTGTAAGCCAGCAATGATCGTTAATGTAATTTTCTGAAGGGGACCATATATACGGGTAGGGTCAATTATGGACCGACTTAAAGTTTGGTTAAGAGACTTTGGGTCGCAAGGAACTTCTTGAGTCGTATTTCATCGCTATACTCGTATTTTTAAACCAGTAATGGGCGTTAAAGTAATTTTCTGAAGGGAACTTTTTATGGTGGTAAAGGTCAATTATGGACCGATCCACATAATATTTGGTGGAAAGGTTTTGACTTCTAAGAAATGTAAGTAATGAGCGTTAAAGTAATTTTCTGAGGGGGCCTTATATGAGGGGTAGGGTCAATTATGGACCGATCCTCATAAAATTTGGAAGAGAGAATTTTGCTCATATAAAACTTATTTATGCCAATATTTCGATGTGTTACAAACGGAATAACAAAATCAATATACTCCCATCTTTTTTGATGGTGGATATAAAAATAAACTCTGTGTACTGTGAACATCCGTTTATATGAATTATTTTTAACATTCAGATGTTTTTTCCGATATTTTTTTTCGAAATGAATTTATTTGTTTTTATGACGCAGAGATTATTTTTAAAGTATAAACAATTTTCGAACATTACTTCGAATAATCGAACTTATGTAATTTCGAATATTCGAACATAATGTCGTATTGTAACCAGGTATATTTATAACTATCAAGTTTCAGCAATTTCGGTGAAGGGGAACTGTATTTAACAGCTTTAAGAATTTTCGAACATAAGTTCAAAATTTAGAAAAATGTTTTTTTAGTTTTTATGGCCCAGAGATTATTTTAAAAACATAAAACAAATTTGGAACATTAATTCAAATTTTGTGTATTGTATTGTCATCAGGGGTACTGCCACTGTCAAATTTCAGTTTTAACAGCTTTCAAAATTTGAAAGCTTTTGAATTTTTGAATTTAATTTTTTGTGTACATATTTTTATTTAAAAAATGTTTACCAACACTGAAAATAACCTGAAAACAAATAATTTCTATGCCAAGGGTTAACTGGTTTATTTTTTACTTATATAGTCAAACTTGTTTATAACGAATTTTCGGTTGTTACAAACTACATATTTTTCAAGTCCCGACATTTTGGTAACTATTTTCATACAAAAAACATCTCTTATAACGAACTCGGTTAATACGAATCCTCGGGCATAACGAACTACTTTTTCAGTCCCTCAAGTACAATTTTCCTTAGCTTTGTTTGAAAAAAAAAAAAAAACTTAAATTGTTGTGAAATATATAAACAAACACATAAAATCAATTGTGTTATTTTTTTTTTTTTCAAAGAATATGAATTAAATTTACAATTCATATTTTTTCAATTGCGTAAAATGACACTTTGATCTACAAAAGCTTCATAAGACTTATTACGAACTTTCCTTATAACGAACAAATTTGTACTGGTCCCGCGCAGTTCGTTTTAATCGAGTTTAACTGTATAACACGATAACCAGGCAACTGTGAATAACCTTAGTATTTGTGTGTCAAAACCATTGTTTGAGGAACAAAAAAAAAAAACAACTAAGCGGTGGAGTAGAGAGTAAAGTGGCAAACTGGCAGACGGAATGTTGTGAGTTCAACCCCTGACCGTGTCGACTTCTTATTTTTACATTTTTTTATAAATAGTTCTATAAATAACCCTATTTACAAAACAACTTATTGTTATTACTAACAAAAAACTTATTGCAGTAAAAAAGGAAGTTAAGTTTTTGCTGGGATTCCATAGAAGAACAAGACAAGAAAGTGCCTTTAAATTCACATATTGTCGTTGATGAAATTGTTGTTAGAAGTAAGCATACATAATTTACAAATTAATACTTCTTGTTTGCTCATAGAATGAAACATATATTTTTGGAAAGGGCTATGTCCAATGGTTAACAATTTTTCTTTTTTTCCTATACGTCGAAATTTTGAGATAAAGTGGTTTTCATTTACCATCTTCTTTCACTAGTGCTGGAAAAATATTTGAAAATGACTAATGATTTTTGGGTGCTTGCACCTGTTTTGGGAAACAAACAATCAACTCAGAAATAAAATAAAATTTAGGACTTCCTTAGCCCACTTTTTACCAGAGTTTGTTCTTTTTGCCCGATTTTTTTTTAAATTAAAAAAAAATAATTTTCGGTAATACACTATTATCGAACAAAATAAAGTGCAAAAGTGTAGATTTTATATATCATTATTTAAATTTCTTGTATATCAAATTTTTTTATATATTTTGGTTCCATACTAAAGCCCTTCAATATACAATATTTTAAAAACAATACCCCAGGTTTTAAACATTATGGTGGAGGGCTATCGGTAATAATGGTAATAATGGTAATGATATATAAAATTTACACTTTATTTTGTCCGACAAAAAGGTGAATTTACTTTAATTTTGGATGTTATTCAGAAAAATTTTAGGTTTTATTGTAACTTTTGTAGCGTTGTATATAAACTAAATGAATTTAAAAAAAATCCATATTCAGTAATTATTTAACACATTTTTCGCTGATCACTTTTGCACTTTATTTTGTCCGATAGTGTATATCTGACATTTTATTCCTGAATTACAAATACACGGATCTGAATTTATTCCTCATAGTTCATTTCTTACGTTTTCATTTATTCTTTTTCCGAAAAACTTTTGGAAGCGTGAGTGATAAAAATGGCATCTATTCACCAAGATTTAAGATTATTGCAACGTAATTTTTAATGTTTTTGTAACAGGAATCAACTGTATGAGTGTTGTGAGGAAGACCAGTAAATTTTTCAAAATATTCAATTTTTTCCTCCTAATTTTTAGCATTTTCTTTATGAATAACTCAAAAATTTTAAGTCCTAGATTTTTTTTCAATATTTTTTCTGGACTTAGACCGCCAAATAAAGAAATCCAAATAGGTTTTATATCATGAGCAAAATCGGTGTATAAAAGTTTTCAGTAACGTTAATAATTTAAATTACTCTTTCTTATGTTAAAAATCTTCATGTTTGATATTTAACATACATATGAATGAAAAATTATATCAATCTAATTAATTCTAGTTTTAAAATAAAAAAATAGAATTTCATAAATTCTCATCAATTTAGATCATAAATGAACCATTTATTTTTAAAGTGGAATGAGTATACTTTAAGGATACAGTTTTTTAATATTAAAAACAATATTATAAACTACAAATATTAAATATTTACAAAATTTCAGCAGTTCAGTTTTGTATAAGTTAATTTGATAAAATTATGGCTTAAAGAAGATTAAAAAACTGTTTTACAAAAAACTCACGGTATTTGGGATATTCTCATCCCAAAAAATCCCGGGGTTGGCATCCCAGTCGTCAATATAAATACAATGACTGTCAATAATATTCGGTTTTTATGTTTCTGTTTTTTCTGTTCTTAATTTTTAAATAAAAATTAAGGTATGTATTTAAAAAAATACTTTGTACTTATTGTTGTACATATTAAGAGCTTTTTATACATAATAAATTTTTTATATACATCGATTAAATATAATAAAAAAAAATTGAAAAACATGGAACATTACATAAATTTATGCTTCATTAATATTCGTTTTTTTTCTTACGAAAAAATTAATCGCTGCAACCGTTCAAAAATTGTGTGAATAATGGAAGAATTTATATTATGACGTTCAAATAAGCTCGTGTATCACGTGGAATCATTGTAGAAACTGTCTTTTAAAATAAAAAAGCGGTCTTATCAATCTTTAGAAAAATTAAATTGTATTTTTGCATTTTGAAAATGAAAAAACCTATAAAAATATTGGTGAAATATTAAATATGAAGCCAAATACTGTCGGTGATATTGTACAAAGGCCGCATTCAATTAAAGAAAAAAGAGATAGCTGAAAAAGTTGATAGATATAGAAGAGCGTCTAAAACTTAGGAAAAGCAAGACAAATCCGCGCTAAGTGCTCCTAAAATTGTTTCTGAAGTGAAAGAGTAATTAATAAAGACTGTTTAAGAAACAACAATTCATCAAAAGATTTAAAGTCAAGGATATAATAGCCGAATGTCTAGTAAGAAGCCGGTAATAAATAATAAGGATGGAACGTTCCGACTAAAATTTGTGAATGAGCGTCTTAAAAAAAATTTAATTTGGTGGAACGACGTTATATTCTTTGATAAGAGCGTATTTAATATATTTGAAGTGTCAGAAGAACACGAGTCGGAAATCTAGCTTTTTAATTTGTATTAAACTATTTTGGGGAATAATTTAAAGCAATCAACAGAAAAATGTTGTAATAAAAAAATAGTTTTATTTTTAAAATCATATTTTAAAAAATTTTGCAAAGTTTGATAAAAAACAAATACTAATAAAGCTTTAATTTTTGATAAATTATAATTTTTTGCTGTTTTATTTGTTTTTATAATTAATTTTTATCTCAAGAATAATGTATTTTGAACTTTTTTCATTTTCATTTAATTACAAAAAATATATGGGGAATTTCATGTCAAGTGACTCAACTAAAAAAATCGATTTTGACGAAATTTGTACTAAGGTTAGTACTATTGGATAGTAGGTCAGACACTGCCGGACTTAGAGGGGGTCAAAGTTGGACATTTTGGTCATATAGGGTTTTATTCAAATGAGTGTAACTTTTCACCTATTGGTCCTAGCAAAAATTGTCCAAAGGAGTTCAGATAGCTATTTCTTCATTCTTTCAAAAAATAAAATTTTTAATTTTTTAAAAATTAAAAAAATTATTTTTTAACTCAAGAATAATTTTTTTATATACATTTTTTCTGAAAATTTCTGCTTCAATTTCATTATCAATATATCGTAATAAAAACCCCGAATATTAATGACACCCACTGTAGCTTGAAACGCGGCAACTTACTGTCAATTATTTCGTCTTGAAAAATGGATTCAATGACAACAAGTTTAAGACATTGTCGTTAATTTTTTTCTGAAAAGACTACAAAATACATGCAATTGTCGCTCATCCTATTCTTTAAAATTCTTTATTCAAGACATGTTCAAGAAGTTTTCATATTAATATTTCAGTTTAACTGAAATACTACAATATTACCTAAAAATGAATTTGTACGTGCCCAGTTGGTAGATTATTATTGACAACATTTGCTTCGACGATGTCTTCAGGAAATTTTTAAATTTGTCTTGCATAATCCTAGACTGTACTCTAATAATACTTTAATAACAAAGTCTTGTTCTTCAAAACACGGCTATAGTGTTTTGAATTTAATAGATGACGGAATAAGGAATTCCAGAAAAGAAAAGTGGGATATAAATATTGAAATCAAATTAAGATTTATTTTAATATAATTATTATATGTATGTCTATAGTAATTTAAATAATATAATTAATGTATGTTTATTTCTAACAAAAGAAAGATTGGCGATATTGTCATCTATCCTATCATCAACGACAATATGGAATATTTTGTTTTGACGATTTAAACCTCATTGCTACTTATATGATCGTCAACGAAAATGTGCAGGATAGTGTCCGACTTAGATTGTCTTGTACACATCTTCGAGGATGCCTTGAAGACTTGGACTTATTTATACATTTTGAATGTTGTTTATATAATAAAGTTTCCTTCTAAAAGCTAAGACCTATTCTATATAATGGTTTCATATCATTTTTAAATCCCGCTTCAGATTACAGTACTGAGTATTAACTCATTTCAAATTAAAAATATTATGAAACAAATTCGGTAATTTACAAATTTCCAATTTTCAACCAAAATCGAATTTTTATATGGAAAATCTTAAATCGTCTGTAAATCTTTAAAAAACGCTCCAAACGAGAAAATAGATAAAAATTTGTAATCGCTCATACATATTTCCCATCAAAAGCGGATTTTAATTGTGTACATGATACATACCATTGATAATGTATTCTTCATCATGAATATAGGCTGGATTAACAACAGCTTCTGTAGGATATGTGGTTTCAATATTACGTTCACCTATAGCTGATAAAGGTATGCGCTGAGATTGGCGCCTTAAACTACTGCTTCGTTGCTGATAAGCATCGATTGACTGATCCTCATTATCTAAATCATCGCGTTGCAGTTGTATTACATGGACAGAGGGTCGACGTTGGTCTTGTGAAGCATAATTAAAAAAAAATATTTATTTTTTTCATTTTCAGAAACGCACGTACATACATACCCGATCCAATAGCATCTGTGTAATTATCTGTTAAGCCAATATGAGGTGTAATCGATTTCTTACACTTCAAAAATAGAACAATCAATATCCAACCTAATATTAAGACCAAGTAAACAAATCCCAGCATGCTCATTTATTTAAGTCAATTTAAATATTATTTGGAAATATATTGTATTCAATCGTTGTAGCAGTCCCACATTCATACCTGCATATGTGATCTGTAACTTTTCAAATTCGATTATTTATTTTTATTTTTAAATTAAAATATCTTATACGATGTTGGTGTCTGCTGACTTACATACAAGTATGTAAATTTTCTTTATTTGTTTTGTAAAAAACAAAAATCGATAAAATAACATTTACAAAAATACTTCAGTGTATATGTACAGATGGAACAAAACGCTCTAGAGTCTAAACATTATCAAAGCGTTATTTTTATTTAAAATTTCTCGCAAAAGCAGGACAAATGGCAAGCAAACGACTATGTTCCTCAGTGAGCGAATTAGAATGACTGACCCTACTTGAAGGAAATACATACAAAAACTTATAACAATATATACAATACTAGTACAGAAATATTACCTTTCTGTTTTCATATATTCCTAATGTGGAGAATATCCGAATACGTTGATTTTTGTAGGGGTGAATAGTAACTAGCCACACACACATATAAAGTGTGTAAATTCCTTTTTGACCACAACAAAGCTATGAATGTAAAACATTTCTTGTTGTTACCAATTAACAAATTGTCCGAGTATAGAAAACTGAGTTAAGTAAAAATATGGCAGAATGCCGAAGAAATATCACGAATTCAAATAAGGCGTCACGTTATACGCCACATTAGGTGTGTCCTAATTGTTTACATTCATATTTGCTTCCATATAAGTACATACTTCAGTAGTTTTCGCTTAACATTATTAATTACCCGCTTTTTTCGTTCAGAATAAATGCAATAAACATATCTAAATATGTAAAATTCCCTTTTAAATGAGTTCGGTTAAGTGCGTTACCATGTTAATTGACTTATAAATTAGAAACAAATTTTTAAGGAAAGGCAAACTATCCCGCTTAATTGCAAAACCGTAGAAAATTCGAAAAGTCGACTTTTGGTGCAATTTAAATATTTATAAATTTGTATACATGTATATATGTACATACTATAACTACTTCAAATAAAATTTTATGAGTGTTTAAAATCAATGCGTTTTTTGATGCAATTTCTTTTATGGTGAGGTAATTAACCATTTCCGAATTAAAATAAGTAATATAAAAGTTGGTAATATTAAAATCTATATGATCTATATAATATAAAAGTTGGTAATATTAAAATCTATATGAACTTAGTGCCGGTTCACACAGGGAAACTTTTCATTCACACAGAAAAACTTTTTTTGAGAAACTTATGATTTTTGTGTGTGAGAAAAAGAGAACGAAATATCAACCGTCTCTCTCTCCCACAATTAAAATCAAAAGTTTCTCAAAAAAAGTTTTCCTGTGTGAATCGGCACTTACTAAATAAATTTCATACATACGGGCGATCTTTTTTATTGGATTTAATGTAAAATCGTACTTTTTTCCAATGGCTTATCGATTTTGGTATAAGCATCATTGTCAGCTACCAGTTCATATTTAATGCTTCATGGTTTTTTACTGTAATAAAAAATTTAAAATTCGAATTTTTTTATATTGCTCTAAAATCTTAGTATGCCAATATTTTATCACGGCTTAATGATTTCAACATGTAAAATTTAAAAGTATTTCGATCATACGATATTTTTGTTATATTGAGGTTACGCTGTTAGTCTGTTTCATTGTTTAAGCTTCTCCCACAGTGATTTCTTCAAAAGCACATTTTCGAAATATGCCTCATACAATGCGTTATTACAATGTCTATTTTTTTCTTATTTAATCGAAGAGCCGCAAATATTCTATTAAAAAAACTGAAAATTTTATAAAATTGTACAAATTTGGTTTCAAAACTCTGCAACCACGCAATTCTAATCAAAATTTTCATAACAATTAGTTATGGACTATAGTCCTTCAACAAGTTTATACAGCATACATTGGCTGCACTTATACACACCTGTTCTGCATTTCAATTCGAATCGAAATTTTCTCCGTAAGGCAGCTTTGGTACTCAGCATTTCGAATCGACTTTCCGCCACATAAACAACAAGTTACAAAAACGAAGCTACGATGGTAATGCAGAATACACACGAAATGGAATTACTACTTCTTTTTCTTACGATTCAGTTTTTTGTTGGAATACCTTTTTTCGATTGTTGCGTAACTGAATACGTCAAAGTAATCGACATGCAAAATAGGGGTGATAATATCCAAAAATTAAAAAAAAACTAGTCGTTTTCAATCAGTTTTTTTGTTTTTTTTTGAAATTTGGACTTTAAGTGTTTATTATACTACAACATGAAATCACTCTTGACCAAACAATTCTATGCATCTATTCTTTCAAGCCTTGTGAATAAAAATTTATCAGCATATAATTTTTAAGATATTAAAATAAGGATATATTTATGCCTAACATTGATTTCTTTAAATCTAAAATAAAAAGAGAATTTCCCTTATATTTTATTTACGGTTAATCGTTGTCTTACCGCAAAAATATAAAAACTTATTTGAGTAGTAAAATTTTTAACGGCTTTTTATTTAAAGATTAATTTTATTAAATATATTTCTTCGCTATTAATAAATATGACAACTGAACATGAATCTGCTTAAATAAATAGAATTAGATATCTAATGTAGTAATACATAATTATTTTACCAATATGTTTTAATTTTCTTACTTTCCTATAAACACAATGTGCTAACTCAATATAAATCCCAGAAAAAACTACATATGTACATATATTAAGTTGTATATATAAGTATAAATTAGTAAGATTATTATAAATACACATATGTATGTATATAAGTATTAAGGAGAGTATGTTATTAATTTGTTTAACATTATGTAAATTAAAGTTTTTTGCTTCCCAGAATATTATACTTTTTTGAATTAGCACTTTTTGATTATAGTGGCTCTATATGTTAGCATATATTACTTAATGGTATATGTATATTATTTCACTTATTTCTAACTTTGTAGTAAGTATTGGGACCATAATTCTATATTAAGCGTATTTATATACAATATATGTGGTCTTTTATGAAAATTATTTATATGTATTAGAAGATAGAAAATATTTTGCATGCGACAATAAAAATATTTAATCTGATATCTGTTGATCAATGTTGTATACATACATACATACATACATATGTATTATAAATATAAATTAAAATATTTGAGTATTTACTATATATATTATATATTGGTACTATTATGTACTATCACAATTTTTGTTGATCGAAAGATCTCTGTTCATTTATTTGTAAACTGCATTCAGGCAACTTGACTATTTGGAAATATGAAAATAATGCAATAAAAGATATGTACAGTGGACCGACTTACAGAAAATAGATCCTAATTTATCCTCCTTAAAATATGTATATGATGTTACTCAAAAATATTTTAGGAATCATAATAAAACAAATAAAGTTTTGAGAGGAATAACAAAATTAAAAAAATAAACTTGTAGGTAGGGAACTGAAGACCTTTTCAAAAAAATTGTTTTTTATTTTTCTCGTATTTAGTACATGAAAACGCATCGCTTGAGAGGTATTCTTCCAAAAAAATGGTCCATGGGACACCCTACTGTATATTACGGTTTACAAACCAAATTTTATAAAATAAAATTTGTTTATGAATATGGGGTTATTTTTGTTCAATTTAAATTAGGATGAATGTTTCCTGTGATGGCATCGGTAATAATGTGTACATTTATCTTTAAAGATTAATCTCTCCTAAAAAAATTTTAAGTGAAAAACTAACTGCATTTTATTTATTAATCTGTTATGAATATAATACCGTGATATTTATTTTCAATAATTTACGCCTCACTATTCAAAAATAAGAAAAATAGCTAAATGCAAGTATTTGGAGACAATTTTCAAATTGTGTTTGAATAAATGAAATGAAATAAATAAAAAAAATTAAAAATGGACAAAGGCAAACATTGCAGTCAAGAAGCGATAAAAACGTTTCATAATCATCAGCATATTTTAGCTATTATATTTTTGCATAATTTGATTTTAATAACATATTTAAGGAATTTTTTCGAGTTTTATGTTTTTTTTGTATTTTAAACATTATTATTTGATTTTAGTATATTCTTTAGTAGTTTGAAAATTGTTTTTTATTGACCAAATGTGCCAATTATTCGTATTATTTATTGGTTATGTAAACGTAAAATCATATATAGTATAGATATAGAAACAGTAGTACTTGGGAAACAATATTGTCATTCTGTTCTATTCAGAGAATACTACATTTGCAAAAGGATTCATCCCATTCGGAACCTTGTATTTTTCATTTGTAATACATGGCCACCTGTTTTGTAATATGGTGTTACGCAAAATATTTTGGGTTTAGTGTTGTCCGTTCGTGAGCTGGACAGTTTTTTCTTAATCAAAATATACAATATGTGGTATAATTTCAAAGGTTTTTTGAAGTCACGTCTAGTGGTGTGCAAAATTTTATTATTTTATCTATATTAATGAAAAACCTAACAATTATGACAATTATCAGCAGATGGTTTTTATGATTTATACATCATTGGAAGCAGCTTCAGAACCCAATTCTTTCAAAACAAATCTAAAAATTAAAAAAAAAAAATTCTTTAAAAATACCTTTTTTAATTTGGTCTAGCTCACGAACGGCCATCGCCGTTCGGGAATCATGGGAATCATCATTTATTATTATTTCGCTTTTTATCGAAATAGGTATCAAAATTGTCGTAATTTTTAGCTCATACAGAAAAATATTTAAAAGAAATAGTTTGGCATTTGGTTTCAGAATTTTTTGAAATTTATATGCCCTTCATAATAAAATAAAAGTCGTTTTGCGGATCAGAAATACACTAACAAAAATTTTAATTATTTTTCCCGCGATAAGCTCAAAGATCGAACATTTTTTATGGTTTTAAAATACTCTCTGAATCATAAAAACCTAAGAAATACTTAACATTTTCAAAAAAGTAAATTATGTATATAAAAGTTATGAAAATGATCTACTACAAAAAAAAACTACCCATATCAAATTTGATACATAATACCAATAAAATTTAAATTCCACTACGACGATTGTCGATTTTTGACTATGACATACATATTAAGGGCGATTCTCGAAAAGGTTTATTTTAAAAATGGCTTTTAAGCTTTTAACTATTATAATATATTTATATAAACCACAAGGTGTACACAATTTTAAAATTTCAAATTTTCGAATGAAACATTATATTCTTATCAGATGTCTACATATGTACATATATTCAAAATTACAGCATACATATTTCAGTGGTTTAATAATTCAATTAAACATACATACAACATACTAACATAACTCCGAATTTTCGAATGTCATCAGGTGTTTTTTTTTAACAAATTAACAAAGCAAGTTTTAATTATTTTAATCTGCAAAAAAAGAAAGAAAATGTAATGATATAATCAATATCATCCTATAACATAATTTTCTTTTTGAGATTTTCAATGTAAAAAAGTCATTGAAACCTTTTATTTTTAGAGCATATTTTATAAATTTTAGGATCATGTCGAGTAGTGACCCGTAAATTATTGAAAATATAACCGTATATATTCATATAATATTCATAACGGATTAATAAAAAAATGGAAGGGATTTTAAGAGGCAAGAAATATTAAAAGTTATAAATATAACATATTTTTTAAGTATTTTTTAATTTTTAGCCCATCGTTTTCAAAAAAGATAAGTGTTTTGCTGGTAATTTTTATTGCAACACCATACAGAAGTATATAAATAATAAAGATGTAAAAAATTCTGTAACTTCTAAATGGTTCAAAAATTCAACTTTAGAGCAAAATTTCCCACATCGTTTTTTAATTTTTATACATAATATCCATACAACATTTGTTGTTAATTTAGCTCTTCAAAAAGTATAAACTTCCTATACTTCTTCTTAGAAAATCTTTTTGAGACTTGTAAATACTTTCTGTTTGCGTGTGTGAAATTTCAATTCGGACTAACCGTTTAGCATTTACAGAATTATTTCCCTCTTTTTTATTTCTATACTACTGTGCAGCAGCTAACTGGTGATGTCTTAAACTGCGTTCACATTTATGAAATATTTGATAAAAATGATGTGACCCCTAAAAATCGACATTTTGATTTCCACTATATAAAGATATATTTATTTACAAAAACATATATATATTTGAAGTTATCAGTTTAGATTCTAAATTAAAAAAAAAGACGTAACCACTATGTTTTGTAAATGAAGTTTTGATTAAAAAATCATCAATCATCAGATCAAGACTTCATTTACAAAACATAGTGGTTACGTCTTTTTTGTAAAATAATTAATAGGTGTGAACGTACCTTTAGAACAACATGGATATTTTCAAATGTTTGAAAAAGTTATCGTAATATGACAATAATCTTCAAGTCAATATCTGAAGATTTACGTTGTATTGTTTATAGATTTGTAGTAGTAGCTTGCAATTTTAAATAACATAGTGGTTACGTCTTTATGTCAAATATTTAATAGGTGTGAACGTACCTTTAGAACAACATGGATATTTTCAAATGTTTGAAAATTTATCGTAATATGACAATAATCTTCAAGTCAATATCTGGAGATTTGCTTTGTATTGATTATAGACTTGTAGTAGCTTGTAGTTTTAAATAACGCGTCCTATTTTCTGAATCAGCTATTCGTGCTATATGTTCTGATGCAGCATAGCATGTTGTGGCAGTTGGCGAACTCGATCTTCTGCTTATATGGCTATTATTTGAATTATGATTGTTATTGCTAGTTTTATGCCGAAGACGTAATGCTCCCCAAATCAAAACTAACAGAGATGTAACTAAAATTCCTAAACCAATACCTGGCAAAAAACTTTTATTAAAAGAGTTCAAAAAATTATAAGTTCTCTGTGAGTAGTAATCTATGTCCTCTTCATCGTGACTGGACTTTGTGATGAATTTATGTCCGCTGTTAGCAAAATCTAAAGCCAGTGCATTTTTGTTCTTGTATTCTGATTCGACGGATCTATCGAATTTTGTAAAATCAGCATAAGGGCGCCGTTTAAATTGTCTAGTTTTTGGGAGACTGCCAGGGTTGCTAATTTGCAGCAGAGTAATATTAGAGCAGCCGACAGTTATATCAGAATGGGGGTTATATTCTTGAACCATAACTAAGCAAAACCGATAGCTAAAATGTATAATATAATATAATAAATATGTAAGAAAAAAATCTTATTTATTACCTCTCTCCAATATTTAAAGAAGAACTGTCCGGAACTATAACACTGACGGTATTTTGTCCATTAATAATTTTGCTTTCACAATGTATCTGTCAAATAAAATATTTTTAAATTATTGTTATTTAGCAAAATAATCATATATTATCGCTTAAAATGCAAACGGTCCTAAAATCGTTTAAATATTACAGTAAAAACAAAAAACTATTTAAAATGAAGTAGTTAGTATTATATTTACCTATTTTTCTTCAATAAACTGAATTATGGAAATGTTATATACATAAATACTTTCAAAAATATATTTACGTTTAGCGGTTAATTTCGATCTTTCGATATCATTATAACTGGGCTTTATTATACATATATTCTTCCCATACATACATAAATACATACATACATACATACATATGTACATACATACATACATACATACAATTAAATTTTATATATAAAAATATCCTTTTTACTTTGTTTTTTAATGTTAAAATTAATTTTTTCATCACTTTATTGGCCGTATAGCACCAGGCATCTAAATCGGATGTACTACTTTCATTGTTTCTTAAATAAAATTAAGAAGCAATGAAAAAAAATTCTTCAAAATGTTAAATTATCTATAAAATTAATTTTTAAGAAGATTTTGAACTGAAAAAGTTTTAAATCCATCTACTGATAACAATAATATACCGATCTTTGGACCAAATTTCGAGCAAAATTTAAATATTTGGCAACTCAAGCCGTCCGCGGAAGTTAAAAAGGGACTTAAAAATCATGGAATCTTGATGAATTGATAGAATAATGCTAAACTAAGTTAAATTTAACACAAAAAGTTCACAAAAATACCATTTTTTGAAAATTCCGAGTGTCGTTCGTAAATTACTGTTTGGTAATTTATACTAATACAGAAATGGTGCGATTTATTGTAAAAAATATAACATAAAAAAAGGAAATAAAATTTATGTTTTTTATTTTATTATCCTTTTTTGCAGAAATATGCGTAAAAATAATAAAAGTGAAGATTGTATGTGACATTTTGATACCATTATTGTACTATGTTTAATTCCTTCATCTGTAATATCATATGATTTTAATTGCCAAATATTGAAATATTGCTCGAAATTTGGCCCAAAAATCGGTAGATTATCATTATTAGTAGACAAATATAAAACTTTTACATCTCAAAATTTAATATTTTGAAGAAATTTTTTCATTGTTTCTTAATCTTATTTAAGAAATTTTGAAAGTGGCACCTCGGTTTCAGCTGTCTGGTGCTATACGGCCAATAAAATTTAAAAAAAAAAAACATTTTAACATTAAAGAATAAAGTAAAAAGGATATTTTTATGTTTAAAATGTAATTTCTAATTAAAATTGTTTAAAGAAATAATTGAAAAATCCGATTTAAAAAAAATTATTTAATTTAACTTAATTTTAATTGTTGAAAAAAAAAACTTAAAATTTTAGATTGTAATCTTCGACTTTTCGACTTTTTCAAAAATTCGATTCTTAGATTATTTTGAAGTCGATTTATAGAACACTAACTCTAATGTGTAATCGTTCTTGATAATAGTTTTTTGTTAATCAAAATTGTTCTTTATGAACATTTTGATGTAATATATCAGAATCAATGGCAAAGGTGAATTTTTTGTAAGTTAGGACCGTTTGCGATTTAGGCGACAATATGTAGTATGTACATTAGAGGCCAAAAACATAATTTTTTTTTTTGGATGAGTCTTACTTTGATTTGAAAAACATAAATTTTTTAGGATGTCTTACTTTGATCATTTGTGTCTAAAACAAACTAACTTTTTGTCCGGAAACACATGCTGAAAATCGACTGAATAGTGACAAAGGCGGTGGCGTCAACGTTTATCGCTATTGGGAGTATTTTTAATTAAATAAGGCCGTTGACATTTTTTTATTATTTTCTCATTAACCAGCAAACAAATTCAATTCAATATAAAATTATTAGACTTTTGGATGTAGAATGAAATGGTCGTATATAATATTTTAAACATATAATTTGCGCATATTATCTAAAATAACATTTATTTATCAATGTAATGTAAAAGTTTTTTTTTATTTTAAATGTTTTTTGGTATTGTTTCATATGTTTTTTATTTACAAAATATAACATATTTTAAAATCAGGGCAACACTAAAGAGAGAAAATGAGAGAAATTTAAAAAAACCTCGAGAAAATAAAATTTAAAAAAAAAAAAATTATTCAAAAATTTTATTTTTGATTTTCAATACCAACGTTTCTTTTTGTATGAAAATTTTTAAAAACGCTTGGTTTTATTCAAGCCTATATTTTCTTGATTTTTTTTTAATAATAAGGGGTTTCATTTAAACGTTTAAGTTTCCCATGTGTGCCCACTTGCACTTGTTTTATGAAACCCCTCTTCAAATTCTGTTCAATTAAAATATTTGTAAACATTTTAAAACAATGTAAAACGAAATTAAAAAATAAAAAATGTTTTATTTAAATAAAAAATTTTAAAAAATACATTAAAATGTGAATATTAAAGAACGTACGTTAAAAAGTGATTAATACAGAACGGTTTTATTAAATGCACAAAGAGACTGTTTGCCAGTCGTTCAAAGTAATAAGTTTTGTGCAAATCAATTCCCATACAATTCAATTGCGAAAATGGAAACTTGTACAGGTTGCACAGTTTACGAGGGTTTTTGAACATTTAAATGAGAACCCTTACTGTTTTTTAAAGTAACATTTTACATTAATATCGAAGAACAAACAACAATGTTACTTACAGTTTCCGAAGCCATATATTAAAAACATACATTTTAGCATTGTTCATTAACAAAAAATTAAATTTTTTTAAATTTGTATGGAAATAAGTGAATTATTTTACTAAAAGTTGATTTACTTAAGATCCTCTCACTGTCCCATTCTGATTTTTTTATATTGTTGAGTACACTATAAGCAATCTTATGTGAAGGACTAAAGGAAATGAAAGATACCTTTTTTAGATATCGTTGACTGAAAGACATTTTTTGACAATAAAAATAATTATTGTAAATAAAATATTGTCAAAATACGAGACATGGGCTTTAATTAGGGATTAAAACGATTAAAATCGGATAAATACTTATATATTTATATAAGAATGTTTGTACCAAGTTTCATCAAAATCGGAAAGGGTAAGATACAAAACGTGTTCGAATTTTTGAAATTTCCCTAAATGTATGTACATATATAATTCAAAAGCCAATAGTTTTGAGAAATCAAAAAAGTACTTTGTACGAAATTTTACCGTACAATGTTAAAGCCACTTGTTTTCAGAAATAAAAAGTACTATAACCAATTTTACCGCTATCCGATTGGGCTAAATTTGAACACCAGTTTTAGATACTAATTAACAAATAAAGACCCATCCAAACAAAATAATTATTTTTAACACCTCTAATGTACATGCATTTTGAATTTTACATTATTCTTACCGGGGAATTATCTATCAGAATTTCGTTAATATTTTCCTCCTTGTATACAAAGATTGCATCACATATATAACCATTTTTACTAAAATTTATCCTCCAAGACAGAATTAGACCATAATCAGTAGAAAAGTGAAGTTCTTGTAAGACAATCTGAAAAAGAAGCAAAAAGTTTATATAAATACATATGGAAATGGAAACTTTTGCATTTTTTAATCTGGAAAACATTTCTTAGATAAATACATATATGTATCTACATATATAAGAATATACTCGTCGGATTTTACCTCAATTCCTATATACTTATTTATGTTGTTCATTGACTACAAACTGATTTTGAAAGTGGCTTCATATGGGGTCAAATATTGACCTATACGTTCCCAATGGGGACATGTTAACTTGATTAAAAACCCTCATCTTAGTGTTAATGCAATCCCGCGGAAAAGTAGTCTGCCGGGACTATAAATTGGTGATGATCAAATGTATCCTCCGTCTCTCCTCGAAATGATTTGACATCCGGGGTAGTATGTAGAGGTATGCGGACCTTACCCAACCGTATACCTAGAGTGAGTGTGTCGGATGAATGAGAAGTGTGCTGGGTTGAATAGTGATGGATAAAAGATATCTTATACAAGTGATACCATTCTTTGTCCGGGCATGTTCAGGATTTTAAAGATAATTCGATAGATTTTGTCACACATCGATTCAAAATTTTCCATAGCCACCATACAATGGTAAATATTCCCGGAAAAAATTTTTCGTTATTAGCATCCAATTTTTCAATTATAATTTATTCCAATAACCTAGCCTATATAATTGGTTATAAATTTCTTCTTTAAAAATATCGGTATCGCCACAAAACTGTGTACATATGTACATATAAATATAATATGAACAGAAATTGTAACGTAGAAACGTAGATCTGTATCGACTATGCTATGCCAATTTGCCTAATGTACATTCACTTATCATATGTAAATAATATACTTACGTCATCCGACAGATCCTTAACTGGATGTGTAGAATGATTTTTCTTTGCAAATGCTTCCAATTGTTCAATGATATTTGCATTATCCTTTTCCGCATTTTCCATATCACAATTGAGCATTTCTATTGGTACTTGTATTAAAGGCGCTCCTTCTAATTTGGGTGGTGTTGCACATGTTATAGTTAGCAGATCTTGTGACATTAAATTTGCTGTTTGTAGCCAGTCGGCGAATTCACGTATGGTGCAGTCACAAGAGAGAGGATTTTCTTGCATGGATATACTTCTCAGTTCTAGTGCGCCATCTAAAGCATTTCGTGCCACAATTGAAATATCATTTCCAGATAAACGCAGATCAATTAGAGATGGTAATGGAGTTATGAGATCTGATGTAAGAGCCCTAAGGAAATTGTGTGTTAAATCCAGAGTTTTTAAACGAGTTAGATGTTGTAATGAAGCGCTCGATATAGCCACTATACCATTATAGCTCAGATCTAAAGTTTCCAATGAACCCAACCCGTAAAAGGCATGATCTTGCAACACATCTATTTGATTGTGTCGCAAAAAAAGTGTTTGAAGTTTAGAAAAGTTTTCGAATGCCTTGTTTTGTATGCTTTTTATAAGATTGCGATTTAAATTCAAACTAGCTAGGTTCTTCAAAATAGGTAGCAAAGCCGTGCTCAATGGTCCATTTAAGTTATTGGCACTGATGTCAAGATCCCTAAAAATAAAGAACAATTAAACAAAAAATATGTGATTTTATGTGTGTTTACCCAAACCTTAAATTGAAACACTGAGTAAGGGCTTTTAGACTAAAAGCGTAGTCACCTAACCGATTGCCACCCAGTTTTAGAATTTCCAATTTTCTTAGATTAACAAATGTCCTTTGCGAAATACTCGACAACTGATTATTGCTTAAATCTAAATACTCAAGATTTGATAAGGTAGACAAATCCGAAGTACCTAAGGCTTTTATTTTATTATTTGATAAATCCAATCGTTCCAACTCCACCAATATTGCTATAGAACTCCATGGTACGCTGATTAGAGCATTTCCTGGTAAGCCCAAAGCTAGAAGAGGCCCCTTTATACCAAAAAACGCAGATTTATGAACTCGCTTTATTTCACCAGAGGAAATAATTAGGCATCTTAAAGAAACGTTATCAAATATTCGGGCATCGCTGAGAAACGTAACGTTTTTTAATGAAATATCCAACAAAGCAACAGAATATGGTGTTGTGCGTAAATTTTCAGCCAATATCTTATAAGAAAAGAGTGTGTTTGTATATCATCGATAAGTAATTAAATATGGATTATTTTCAAACACTCACCGTCAAGCCATGTACATCACCATTGCATCGCAATGTATGCGGCAAGTCGCATGCACATTCTATTGATCTAGTGCCGGTTATATTTGGACACATCCATTCTCTAGAAACGTCCTCAATAGGTATTGATGAAACATCGACGGTTTCTTTATGTTTTTTCTTCAGTGATCCCTTATTAAAAAATTTTGCAGTTCTCTTAATGGGTGTTGGAGGTTGTGTTGTCACTGAAAAATTCGTATAACCACTTCTTGTTACTAAAGTCGATAATGTTTTAACCGTGTAGTCTCTGTCTAATATTCCGCTAATTGTTGAATTTTCCATTACATCAGGTATAAAAATAGAATAGGCGATATGCCATTCACCTATTATTACTACACCTATTATTAATTTTATTATTTGCTGCAATAACATCATCATACGGATATCTGAAACGAAAGCAATCTTTTGTTATCAACAGTACAAGGATTTTTATGCAAATGTACGTTTGTAGTCACCCAGCTAGCATTTGGAAGATTGTTGGATAATTAATCAGTAAACTGAGTCATTTTTGACTTCTTTTGATGACCTAAAAGTGATTAATAAGTTGAGAGCTTAAAAAATTATTGGAAAATAATCTATTTAAAAAACGATTTTGAGCGTAATTTTAAGTTCACAGCTAAAGTAAATGGTTATTTCTAAAGAAAAATAAGTTATTTTTTAGAATTTGATGTCACTACATTCACAAAAAATATTTTTTTCGTTTGTGTTAAAAACTAAGTTCGAAAACAATATGTCAAGGCTAAAAAGTATGTACTTATATAATATACTATTTGTAAGTCATTACTAGACTCCTTCTAAGTAATGCAGAAGGTGTGTAGTAGTCATTGAAAAGTAAGTTGTTGAGTAAGTACATGTTTTTGCTGCGATTATTTGCTTTGCTGTTCAATCTGAAGTGTTGTATGAACTAGTGTTTTTCCCGGGAATTCCGCAGAATTTTCAATCCCGAATTCCTGAGAAATTGTCCGGAAATTACCTAGAATTATTTTCCTTAGTTTTATGTTATATTTTTGACAAAAAATGTTGTTTAAAATAAATATATTGATTTGAAATGTTAAATCCAGAGAAGATGTGTATATAAAAAGGTGATAAACACTACGAAACAAATTACTATTACATACTATTTTTAAGAAATTTATTGGTGAAAACTGATTTTCTGGAATTTGCCGTTTTTGAAAGATATACTAGTATATTTAACATATCGAGGGACTATATTCAATAGTCTCTATCTAAGATAATACAAGTTTTCAGGAGAGCAAAAAAAGTGTTTATTTCGCTGGTTCGTAAAGATTTTTGAATTTTTTCTTCTACAATATATTTTTACGACCATATTCTAAATCGTTATATAAAAAGAATTTAAAATTTTGCATTATTTGCAAAATTATTCACAAATTTATATCAGATAAAGCTTTTTTGTCTATTAAATTTTTTTATAACCTTCAGATAGAGAGTTTTTCATAGAAATATAATTTTTTCATTTGATTTAATATCAATAAATATTATATCTTATGCAATTTAATGAAGTAATATAAACCAAATTTTTGAAAAAGCTACAAATTATAAGGTTTTGGTCCAAAATCAATGTTATATGATTAGACATGGCAATAAAATTAATCAAATTAGTATCATAATGAGCGATATCTCGAAAACTATTAAACCGATTTTAAATATATTTGCAGATTTGTGTTCAGCATCTCCAAATCCGAAATAATAGAGTTTGAAGCAATTTTTGGATAAGATGCAGAGTTTTGCATGCAGAACTTTTCTTTTTTTAAGATAGAGAAATTTTAAAATTGCTGTAAAATTGCCAAAAAAATTTTTTTCTTTGAAATTTATGTCCGTGATGCGGGATAGTTTGCTGGATATTTTGCCATCAAAATCTTATTTTCATGAAAATAACAATATAATCCCTCGATATGTAATTATTAGCTAAAAAGCCTAAATAGTCAGGTTCGGTTATTTGGGGGTAGGTGAAATAATGTTTTCATATAAACCATTTTCAATAGTGTTCGTTCTTGGGATAAAAGAACAGTGATCTTTAAAATCTTAAAGATTTACATAGACGGACAGAACCTACTGGTATGCTTTACGGTCGGTAGTCTGCCAATATCCTCATTTATTACAAACATTAGCACAAATTTATAATATCCGATAAAAATATTTCAGGCTTGTACATAACATATTCGTCGTCAGAAATAGAACAAACTTGCGTATATGAAAATGTGCACAATCATTGCGTATGACTAAATTCGTTGTACGTCAATTTAATCGTAGAGACTTGCAAAAATATAATTTTAGTTCTTTTATTTTACATTTTCCAATTTCGAACATACAAATTTTAAAACGAATTCGCATTACGTATAATTTAATTGTATTCCATTCGACGATTTTACGCAACGAATTTTTGACGACTAGTCATTGCATTTGCAAATGGTTAAGTATATTTTTACAACACACTAACAAAATATACAGAAATGCTCTTGCTACGGTTTATATGATATACTACACATAATTACGTAGTTTTTATTTACTCAAAATTTTGCAACACTAACTGACAGCTCAAAAAAATAAAATATTAAAATAAAAAACTATTAAAAATATAAATCTATGTCATCTTCTAGAAGCACCGGACATAGAGGTAAGAACGGATTTAAATAAAAAAGCAGCAAATGCCATGTATTTGCTTTTTTGCAATCAGGTTTGTAAATAGAAACAGAAAAAATCGTTCACAATTAGTAGCAAATATTTACAATTGCAAAAATACACCAGATTGTGAATTAAGCTAATATATTTTTTTGTTTTCGTTTTATAATTTAATTTAAATAAATAATTTGTTTTTTTTTAAGTTTTGTGGTTTTATTTATGTATACAAACTTAGTTACTCCACGAAAGTATTAAAAATTTCATAGAATTTTTTTGACATTTTAAAATCAATTTTAGAATTGTTTAGCATTATTTTGGGTACGATTAAGCTGCAAAAAAATTTTGAGACATGGTCACACTGTTTTGAATGGTATTCTTTTGATTTTTCTCTTTCTCTCCGTCTCTCTTTCTCACACTCATACCTACACAAACTACTCATTCCCTCCACCAGTCTGATCCTAATGAGGGAGCGCTATATTTGCAGGTCGATTTGTTTTGTTTTTATGCGATTAGAGTGACAATATCATTTACGAATAATACGACTTTTAGTATTAAGGTACCCGTCCGTTAAACACCAGTGTAATACCGCTACGCGATTGTAAACAATCATTATAACTTTTTAAATACGTGTAACGTAATTACGTACATACTCACATTTGTATGTACGAATCTGAATATCAAGTACTAGTAATTTATTTTTATTAGGGTAAACCCGTTTGTATATACCAGGAAAACAGTCGATGTTCCCAAATAAATTTAAGAATATATTCTATAGGTCGTGAGTGTTTCTGTAAAGTTTTGTTCTTGGCCGATATATCGCACCATTGTTTTTAATTGCATTGTGATACAAAAGTGAAGAAACTAGATAAAGGGTTCTCATATGCGAATATACATTTAGTTTTTCCTGATCACTTCGCAAACTTATTTTCTAAGAGCAAAAAAGTTAAAAGGCGCTTTTTTAAAGTTTTATATTATATTTTATTTTTTAAGTTTTTTAAATAGTTTCATATTTTGTAAAATTAATTGAAAGCTTCTGATGGAAATTAAATTTCTTTAAATTTAATTTCAGTTAAAAAATTAGACGTGATTAAATTTACTAGAAATATTTTTTTTATATAGACATATATACATACATACATACGTATGTATGTGAATGGAACATCATTTGAAGTTATTAGTGTGGTATCTCATATAAAAAAATAAAACGTAAGCTTTATTTTAAGTATTGTACATGGACATCGTTTCACGGGTTACCTTAATACACATGCATACATATATTAATATACATACATATAAAACTTTTTTTAAATACATTTAAATGAACTTTTATTTACTCGTACCAATGTTTATTATAAATAAACCTTTGTTTAATAATAATCTTAAAACGAATATAACAAGTGTTTTTTAATCTTTAATTTTTGATATACATACATATATATATTATAAAAATATACTGATAGCATATTTTTAGTGTTTTACTGCATAATGCGCTTAAAAAAACTTTTTTAGAGCATTTTTTTTCGCTGGTTATAAACAATACTTTTAACTAAGAAAAACATACTTTTTTGGTTGCAATGATTTTAAATTTTTTTCACCACTTCTTTTTTGGATAATCTCAGAAATAGAAGAATTATTGATAGAATAATTTGCCAAAAATATTGGGGTCCTCTTTTCGATTTCAACAAACTTACGGGTATGTCCCTATGTGCCTGTCATTTACAAGTGTTTTCTTTTTTTCGCCAAAATAAACCGCGAATTAGTTATGCCCCTAATGTACAAACTTATTAATATAAAATGTATATAATATTTTATTTATGAGGAATTCCATTTTAAATTTAAAAAATGTTTTACAAAGTCACCGATTTGGACAAAATTTTGTGAGAACTTCACGATCTCAAAAAACATCAAAATTTCTTCGTGAAATATCGAGGATAATATCACTTTATAATCCTACACTTAAACATAATATTTATAATTAAACAATTTATATTTTATAAATAAAAAAAAATGTATTCTTTGACATTTCATTTTAATTAAAAATGAAAAAAATATAACAGCCTGTTTTTCTAAAACATTTTAGTTCTCACACGAACATTTACAGCTTGTTTTTCTAAAATGAAAATTTGTCTTCGTTCTTAAAAATAACGAACGAAATTGGCTTTACGTTTTTGTAACGAAAAAATAAATGTTCATGTGAGTGACAACGAAAGAGCTTTATTTTTCCATATATTTTTGGTTTTTAGAAAATGAATTCGTTTGTAATAAACGAAAGAAATGTCAGAAATAGACGATAGGCAAAGGCCTTTCGTTTGCCCAAAAAACAACGAAAATTTTACCAAAATACGTAATATATGTGGCCATTTGAACCAGAATGTAATTCGCAATACAAACCTTTAAAATTCTTGAGACATTGCATACAATTTTCATGTTGTTTTTAAAAAAACATTTTTTCATAATTTCAATTTTTTTCTAAAATTATTTTATTTTTGTTTATTTTTTAGGGTTAACACCAAACACCTTATTACTACATGAAAAAATATTTAAAAATTCAGAAATGAAATACGTAGGCAATAATGTTCTGTTACGATAGAAAAAGCTCATTTCATTTTAGACATTTTTAAACGAAAACTTTCAAATGTTTTATAAAAACCTAATTTTAAACTTGATCGTAATAAAATGAAATGTTCGTGTGAGAACTAAATTGTTTTAGAAAAACAGGCTGTTAATTTTATTACGATCAAGTTTAAAATTAAAAAAAATTAATTATAAAACATATTAACAGCTTGTTTTTCTAAAATGAAAATTTGTCTTCGTTCTTAAAAATAACGAACGAAATTGGCTTTACGTTTTTGTAACGAAAAAATTACAGCCTGTTTTTCTAAAACAATTTAGTTCTC